AATGAGTAAGGATCACTTACCTTTTGAATTGTGATGAAAAGCACTCCAAATATTGCCCTAGACCGAGATCCACAAATCTAAAAATGGGAAAAAACACTCGAACCCTTGATGATAAAAACCTATCTAATAATCTCACACCCGAGGTCACTTAATCACTTATACAGTACCGCTTCTACGGGACAAGGCCGCATTTGCTAACCCAGCCAAATGCCCGACCATCCACTTCTATGGTCATACTCACGTACCTGTGGAATCCTTCCGCATCTGCGGTCCCTACTCCTTCAACCAAACTCCACTTCCGCGGACCTCCCATCACAGAAGTGCATCCGTTTCTATAGAATCTTGTGCGCATTTGCAGACTTCCCTCGGTAAGGACAACCTCGAACCTGCACAATAAAGTCCACATATGCAACCAGTCCCACCGCATATGCGAAAGCACTAGAAGACATTAAGTCCTAAATGGCTTGAACTCAATTCGAAAACCCCCCAAGGCTCCTCGGGACCCCGTCCAAACATACCAACCAAACCCAAAACATAACACGAACTTACTCGAGGCCTAAAATTACATAAAACAACATAAAAATCATGAATCACTCCTCAATTCAAGCCTAATGATCTTTTAACTTCCAAAACTCATGTTTAACCATATCAAACAACTCCGAATGACCTCAAAATTTGCATGCAAGTTGAGAATGATACAACAGACCTATTCCAACTCCCGGAATCAAAATCTAAACTCGATATCATCAAATTCAACTCTCAGTCAAATCCATTAACCTTCTAAACCTTCAACTTTCTAACTTTCACCGAAAGGCACCAAACCAACCTACGGATCTCCAAATCCACATCTAGAGATACACCTAAGTCCAAAATCACCATAGGAAGATATTAGAACCATCAAAACTCCATTCTAGAGTCGTCTACACAAAAGTCAAACTCCAGTCAACTCTTACAACTTAAGATTCCAACCTTGCGACTAAAGTGTCCCAATTTGCTCCACAACCTCCCCGAAACCAAACCAACCACCCCAGCAAGTCACTTAACCATAAATACACATATGTAAGTATCAAATAGGAGAACCGGGGCTAAAATACTCAAAACGACCGGCGGAATCGTTACAAAGTGTAGGAAGGTATATAGGAGTTAACAAGTCTTGATTCAATTGGTATTGAAGTTAAACTTAATGCTTATCTTAATCAGGGATTAGAATCTATTAAAGACAAAGAACGCAAAGAGCAGCTTTTAACATGGTGGATGGTCATGGCAAGGTATTTCTAATACTTTGAAGAATGGCTCGAAATGTATTGGTTATTCAAGACTCTTTAGTAGCTTCGGAGTGTGCGTTTAGCCTGACAAAATTTTAAATTGGAGACCACAGACATTTATTAGCAGAGGATAACCTAGAGATTTTCGTCTTATCCAAAGATTGTATCAATATAGAAAGAAGAAATTTTGGCCAACAAAAATTAACTACTAAGGAAGAGGAAGAATATAGTGAGAACTTTGCACTAGAAGAGATGACGACATGAAACTCATGGAACATCAAGCGACATTGCCAGTTCTAGAGGAGCTTCCCATTGATATTATACGAATGTTAGAAAGAAGCTATACATGAAAGTGTATATATATTAGTATGATAATTCGTTACTTAGAGGCATAGTTTAACTAGAGCATTTCCTAGAAGGTGGCTATGTAGATTAGGTGCTCTTCAAAAGACTTGTATTTGTATGTGAAACTTAAAATTTTAATTAAATAAACTAAATGTCACGACCCAGACCCCGATCCGGTCGTGATGGCGCCTCTCATGAAGACAAGGCCAGCCAACCAACCCATTTCACCTTTTCAGAATAGTTAATAATAATAAACAGTTTTTGCATAATTAAATAACCACAGTCTAAACAAAAGTTTTCTTTATTAAGTGCGGAATACAACCCAAACACAGCCCAAACCGGGGTGTCACAAGTCACGAGCATCTATTAGAGTATAAATACAACTGCAAGGCCTGAAACATATAAAATACGACTGATAAACAAAGGGAAGAAATGTGGTGCTGCGAACGTTGGCAGTCACCTCACTAAACTCCGATGACTTAGCCTCCGACCAGCTCAAAACCTGCTACCGGGTGAACAAATACCTGCATCTGCACACGAGGTGCAGGGAGTAAAGTGAGTACTCCAACTCAGTGAGTAATAAAGGTAAATAATAACTGAATAGTAAGAAATCACGTAAAACAAACCATCATGCTGTATAGAGCAGTCTAAAACCCTTTGAGTAAAAGCAGTGAAACTGTAAAATCCTTAAAAAAACATCTTAGCTCAGTTTAAACCTCTTTTAAAAATGAATTTTTCAACATTTACGCAAATGAGTGCAAAACAAATAGTGCAGATAAGCACGAAAATCTGCCCCTCGGGCACAACACTCAATTAACAGATAATGCCATGCAATCAGATAGATATCACATGAAGTAGCACAAACAACAGATAATGGCAGACAAATGAAATAAAGTAAACACATAGAACAGCACCAGCACCGCTGCGGCGTGCAGCCCGATCCATATAGCCCGATCCAATTGAAGCTAATGCTATGCTTCCCTTCCCTTGTTCAAGAGAAAATGAGGACTTTCTTTTAGCTACCGGCCCAAACAAAAGAGATTAGGAATTATGTTAAATAAACTACAAGTCTTTTTTAAGTACTTAAAAATTCTATATTTTCTAAAATATTGTGCTACAAGTTTTTTCTTTTTTCTTAATTAGGATTTTTATAATTTATTAAGTTTGTAGTTAACTAAAAAACTAGCCATTACCAACTTTAAAAAATTAGCTGTTGCCAATTTTAAAATTTTTAATGATAGTTTGTCCTTAAATATTTAACTTAATAATTTTTTTTTTAAAACCCACTAAGGGATTTCGTCTTGTGTCATTTTGCTCCGTTTGTTAGTGGGATGGGATGACCTAGGTGGTCGTCCAGCTGTTTTCCCCTTAATCCCGTTAAGAAATCATCCCGTCCCGTTCCGTTCTGCTAAAATCATCCTGTTCTGTCCCATTAGACAATATTAACTATGTGGTATACCAATATTTAAATTATGGTATATTTTGTTTATAACGTTTTGATCATAAAGTTTTTAAAATGGTCTCTTATCGTCATTTTCTCGCAAAAAAAAGGAAGAAAAAAAAAGAGACTTGATAGTTTTGCAGCTATGAATAAAGGAATTTTTACCTTCCTATGCCATATAGGAAACCTTATTACCCTCAATGTTTAAGGTTTGATTTAATTACACTTAGTATACCAAATTACCAATCTTATACCATACTTAATTAAGGGTCTAATTAATGGGCAGTTTTTACTCCTTAATTAAAGGTGTCCATATATCTTACGTTTCTCTATCCCCCTAATTCCTAAGACCTACGCAATTTTTCCCCTCCCCTTTCTTCTTCTTCTCCATTCCTTCTTCTTCTCAAAAAATACAGAGATGGAAATTGCAATTTTGTTACATACGAAATAGTAGGGCCCACACTTTCCTATTTCTTTTCGGATTCAAAATCATATTCTTATGGTTTTACGACATAGAGCTACTGCCTT